GCGGTGCTATTTACGACTTTGGATCTTAAAGCGGGTTACTGGCAGATACTGGTGGCGCCAGAAGATCGTGATAAGACTGAATTCACTACTAAGAAGGGGTTGTATCGGTTCGTTCGCATGCCGTTTGGACTTACCAACACACCTTCAACATTTCAGAAGATGATGAACAGCGTGCTCAGAGGATTGACGTGAGCCACATGTCTTGTGTATTTGGACGACATTGTGATATTTACACGTGGATATATCGAAAGACATGTACAAGAAGTGGCGCATGTGCTGGAGAGACTGTCGATAACGGGTCTGACACTAAAGTTGAAGAAGTGCCGGTTTGCAACGACGTCTATGGAGTACCTCGGACACGAATTGAGCAGTGACGGGGTTCGGCCGCTACAACGGCTCGTGACGGCGGTTCAGCAGTTTCCCCAACCATAGGACACAGTGGAGTTGAAGAGGTTTGTGCACCTTGCGGGGTACTACCGACGATTTGTGGCAGGCTTTGGTTCGCTGATGACTCCGATGACTAAACTACTCAGGAAGAACGTGGTCTCGGAGTGGTCTACGGCGCAACAGGAAGCGTTCGAGAAGGTGGAGGCGATCTTGACGAGCAAACCGTTGCTGGTTTATCCGAACTTCATTCTGACCTTCACGGTGGTGACTGACGCGAGCAAGGTTGGTCTCGGTGCGTGCTTGATGCAGGACCATGGGCAGGGAATGCAGCCTGTTGGCTACGCAAGCAAAGTGGACAGTGCGTCTGAAGGAAAATACGGTATTACGGAATTGGAGTGTTTGGCTGTCGTGTGGGCCATCAAACTCTATCGACCTTACCTGTACGGACGGCGTTTCGTTATAATCACGGATCACGCAGCGCTCAAATTGCTGATGACCAGTGCGAACTTAACGGGGAAGCTTCACCGTTGGGCTCTTATTTTGCAGGAGTCCGATTTTGAAGTACAGTACCGACCCGGTACGACGAACGTAGTTGCCGATGCGTTGTCGAGAGCACCCGTGGCGGTGCGGTAAGAGCAGCTGTAGGCAGGATACGACGGACTAAGCGATTAGCAGTTACGGCAGCGACGAAGGACGCGGCACCGGCGCCGACAACGACGGGGGGAGGTGCACGAAGTGCTCCGCGACAGGATGTGGACCCAGACGCGCAGTCAGACGGAGTAGTAGAGCGACCACGGGAGATTGAGTGCGGCGACGAGATGGGGCAACGCTCAGGAGCAGCTGACGAGGCGGCTGTGAAGGTAGAGCACGCGGAAGATCAAAAAACGGCCGATCGGAAGGAACCTGCGGCGACAGAGGAGCACTCGAAGTCAACGGCAACTGGAAAATCGCGGGCTGGACGATGAGGACGGGCATGTGTCCCTGTAACAACACGTCGAATGACACGGGCGGCGAGACGAGGGCTCACTCGGGGAACAAACGGAGAGGCAGCACACGCCAATACGGAGCTTCGTACTAACGCAACGGGCGATGACGGGACGGGTGATGCGATTGAGAACACGGACGAAGTGGCGGCTGACACAGGGCTCACGGATGTACTAGAGGGTCAGGTGGCACACAGAACCGAACACGGACGACGAAAAGCAACGCAACGTACCGGACGTGGTGCACGTACGGAAGAATCAGGAGTGGTATTTCAGTCAAGAAGAGAGGCCAACACGCAGGATGAGTCACGGGAAAGTGTGTGGGGTACGTTCCGGAGGTGGACGAGAACCTCAAGGACGTGGCGGGAGCGATGGAACTGTACAAGGAGGTGGACAGCCACGTGCAGTACTGAACGGCGTAGACTGAGGTAGTGGCGTTGTAAGAGGCGACGAATCAGCGACGGTGGGCAGTGGCGTAGCACAGGACGAGACGGAACAGCTGCGAGCAGTGCACGACGGACGGGCAGCACGACGCGAGCAGACACTGCAGCTTACAGATGACAACATCATTGCGGCACAGAAGCATAGCAAGTTGGTGCAGGACTTGTTAACGGCGGGCGAGTGCCGAGGGCAGAAAGTGTCGACTAGCTTTGAGTTGGTAGTGGTGGTGACGACGAAGGGATCGCGTGTGGTGCTACCACCGGCATTGTGGCCTTAAGCGTTCAAGGAGGCGCACAATTTGGTTTGGGCAGGGCATCTACGAGCTCCTCATACGTACGGCAGGATGGCGCAGACCTACTGGTGGCCTAATTTGCAACGAGCAGTGAGCGGTGGGTCGCTGGATGTCAGGAGTGCGGTAGCAGGAAGTCGAGACCGAGGCAAGTGATTCCGCCTTTACGTAGCATCAGAGGTGGCGACGTTGGCGACAGGTGGGCTCTCGACGTGGCTGGACCATTGCCGGCGAACGATGGAGGTAAGTGGTATGTGATTGCAGCGGTCGAATACGTTACGCGTTATGCTGTGGCTACGACGGTCAAGCAGCACGAGGCAGGCTACGTAGCGGAGTTCTTGATGCGAACGTGGTGCTGAAGTTTGGACCTTTTTGGGAGTTGCTAAGGGACGGTGCATCGGAGTTAAGGGGCAAAGTGATCGAAGAATTGGTGATCCTTCTCCAGGCGGATCAAGTAAACCCGGTACCGTACAGGCCGCAGATGGTGGGCATGGTGGAACGCGTTAACAGAACATGGAAGGACATTGTGGCAACCTGCATGAGTGAGGAGACGCAACGTGACTGGGAGTCGTGGGTCGACTTTGCTGTGTACTCGTACAACTCATGAAGGCACTCAACGGTGGCGCTCTACCCGAACGAACGGACGATGGGCAGACGACTCAGAAGTCCGAACGAGCTATTTCGTGCGATGGCAAGGACGGAAGCTGGTGAGCTGAGTGCGTACCACAAGCGGTTGTTGGCAAACTTGAAGAACAGCCACGAGTGTGGAGGGCGGGCCATGCAACGAGAGCAGGAACGGCAAGCTAGGTATTACAACAAACGTGTCAGACAGGAACGCACATTCATTGCAGGAGATCGAGTTTAGGTGTACAAACCTACGAGGGGTGCGAAGGCTTCGAAGCTGGTGCATCTGTGGATGGGACCCGCGCAGGTAATCGAAGAGGCTGGCTACGATAACTATTTGGTGAAACGAGAGGATGTCGAGGACGAGGGCGAGCGCATGATCGTTCAAGTTTCGTTCATGGTGTCCTATAATTACCAGACAAGGTTCTTGGAAGCAGCGGCAGCAGATCTTATACTGGAACTGAACGAGGAGGACAATGCTGGCATCGGGGAAGATGAGACGACAACAGCGGAAGCTACAGGCGCAACGACGGTTACAGTTTACATGGCAGCGGCTCCACGAGGTACGAAGAGACGCAGAGGAGCAATGGCAAGTGAGGAGCAACACAGAGAATAGGACGAGCCTTTTGTGGAACTTCAACGGCGGAGAAGGAGAAACACGGTAGGACAGTACGTCGTGGAGTTTGAATTCCAACCCCTTAACAAATTCCGAAGACAACGAGGTGGTAACGAGCACGCCAACGATGTTGGAAGGGGATGGGTGTCCATTCGATAGTACGAACGACTCTTTCAGCACAGCAGAGTCGTGGAAGACTCTAAAATTGGGGAAGTCGTGTAACCGGTACGCGGTTGGGACTACGGTTCGTCATACAACTGTGACATCATGCGGTATCACTGTGCGGACGGCCAGTTCGACAACAGACAGGCAATCAGTAGCGACAAGAGGTCCACGACGCTGGAGAGGTCCAGGAGCTGCACGGAGGACGTCGTGTGGTTGGCTG